CAACATGTGTGCACATTAATGGGATGCAGCAAATGCTAATAAGAGGCTCAGTTTTTGTAATGGTCTGAAATTCTAGCTTGATCATTTGCAATGTGACATGGCAAGACAAATAAAACGATTTTAAAACAACTTATTTAAAGGTGTATTCTTATGGCACCCACTGCATCAAATAGCTCACTTGGTATAGAAATAATCTCCGCCATTGCTGTTTTCAGATGAGGAATCACCTAGAATACGATCTCTTTGCTAGAATCCAGCTGATAATTCTAACATCCCTAGATGTGTCCCAATGATCACTTCTGCTTCTTCATGAGTTGCTTTTTGGAGAAGACTCTAGAGGAGGGTAGATAAAGAAAGAAAGCCGGAGAGGCAGGTTTTCTGCTTCCAGCTTCCTGGGCAAAGCAAAATGAAATTCCTGCTGTTTGATTTAATAAGAATCAGTGTCTAGCTCATCGGATCGGTCATACTCAATTGGCAGAAAAGAAGTGTTTTGGGATGTCTGCATTTCATTTTGGCATGTACACTGATATTCCCTTATGTCTTTTCCGAAAGGCGCAAAGTAGCAACGTTGTGGCACTATTTCTCTGGTCTGATCCATGTAAGTTGTATCTTTTACGTAAGAGTTTAATTCTAACTTTATGTCAAAAGTAAGTTTAAATTTTCCATGATTTTATTCTTCAAAATGTGTATGATAATCTATGTTACACTGGTTGAGGTTTCCTATTCTGTTTTCCCATCCTGAGGTACTTTGAATATCACATTTGAAAACTGTTTAGGTCTCACTCTGGTTTTCATATTCTTAGCCATGGAGTTTATCTGGCAATTATAAAGCACCTACTATGTGCTTTCATTTTGAATCCCAGGAATTCATACTAAATATGAAGCAGTAATTGTCAAAGAACTTTCTATTCTTTTATCTATTTCTCTTTTTCGATCTGTAATCACCACTTCTTAGCCTAGGCAAGAGAAAAGCTTATAAGATGCCTTTTTCTTTTTATCAGCTGGGCCATAAGCAAGTTACTCTTCTTTTCATTTAAAAAAATAAATAAAAATCCTTAAGGAGATTTTAACACTTCTCTGGTCAAAATATACTTTATAAAATTAATGTCAATTAATTTACATCTTTGCATTCACAGCTGTTTTGTAGATTTGGATTGCAGACCACAACTGGGTTGGAGGAGGGCCAAAAATTGATGGAGGAAGAAACAAGGTTTATTGAAATAAACTTTACAATTACACTAGAGACTAGAGAAAGTCTTCTTTGCATGGGATTGGGAAACACAACAATAAGGCCCCCATGACTCACCCAGGGTCACTCAGCAGTGTGGTCAGCTAGGAATGGAACTCCAAGTCCCAACTTTCTGTCCCTGTCCTAACCACCAGCCCACACTCCCTCCTATGTTACCGTCACTCTTCACAGGTGGAACTCTCTTTGAGGTTAGCAGGAACCTCATACAGAATCAAACACTGGGCAGCTGAGGCCGTGTGCAGCAATGACATCTGCACCCTTTATAGAATCTTAATGGGAAGTGAAGCCCATGTAGGAATAAAGACTGAGGGCTTTAAACACTGACACAAATGAGGTTAGCTGATATTACCTACTTCGCATTCTGCTTTGCCCTGAAATTGCAAGGGTTTCAGGTCATTGTCAGTTTCAGGTCATTGTCAGATCCTCCTCTAAAAGAGATTGCCAAGAACAAAGAAACCAAATCAGGAAAAAGTAAAAGTAAAAATAAAAACCTCTGACCAAGCTAAGACTCTAAACATAGCTTTTCCATTTACCTCAATGCAGATAATTCTAAGATATATATTTCTGATTCTATTCATTCCATTTAAAAGAGAAAGACCACACCAGGGTAAGCAATGCAGGGTGGTCAGACACATAATCTAATGACAGTGTGTGGAAGCCACTACAGAAGACAGCAGGAGCACTGCCAGAGTGTGCTATGAGGCTGAGTGGCTGATTTCTATGCAGGGTCCACCAATATTTTCCAAGTATAGACAGTTTTTATTGAAATAAAAATAGAAAATGCAGGACCAGAGCTCATACTAAAAATTCAGTTTAGTAAAGACACCAAAACTGCCCGTGACAGTAGAAGATATATTTTGGCCTTGCTATCCATAACAGAGAGAAATGAAACTGTATACTAAAACCTTTTTATGAGTAGGCTAAAAGCTTGTCAGTCTCTACAAAACACCATGGAGCTGATGTCTGTTTCTTGTGCATTTGCTTTCCACTGACTGAAACAATTCTTTTCTGATCCATTGGTTTTGCTTACAATTATACACTTTTTAAAAATATGAAGAATCAGCAGAGATCAGCAGGAAATGAATAGCTAATGCAATTACTCCAAAATTATAAAAGTACAGTCATCATGAGGTACTCTTGCTACTCTCTACCTCTGCCCTTTTTCTAAGTAATGTATTGTCTAGTTTTGAAATTATCAGAACATCACAGCAGAATGTGGAAGCACGTTAAAAAGACTTGATTTCCCTGAGTTAGTGTCTAGAAAGGACCAGTTGTAATAAGATTTAGCAAAGATCAGATAGGACATAGAAGGAAAGTTATAGGTCAGTGAGTGAGGGCTTTGGTTTTTCCACATATATATTTTAATTCTGTGGGATCTCTAAATTTCCATTTAGGGTTAGAAGGTGGTAAAGATAGCCATGTCTAGAACCATGTCTAATCAATACCTTATAAGGGTACGTGGCCAAAAATATACCTTGAATGGGCTGTACAGCCTTTGCTATCAAGTCCCATGTCTGCTCACGTTTTTAGAAGGCAGCCTGGGTGATGGCACGATGTATGCGATAGAATAAGCCTCAGTTCCAGGACTGGCTCTACTGTTCACTAGCTGGGTAACCTCTAAAGTATAAAATCTCTCAACTGGAAAAAGAGAATAATAACATTTTTCCTACCTCTCTGTTGTACAATCAATGAGATCATGAAGGCAGAAGTGTTGGGAAAATTTAAAATACAGAAACACGTAGATATTGCTACAGGTATCACACTTTAGTACAACGGTAACTAAATTGCCTTTATTATCTTATCTGTCCACCTAACCTCCATCATTATTTTATCTAGGACTTCCCTGGCTGCTGAATGTTTCCTGATTTGATCTCCCAACAGTTCAGAAATACTAAATATCACAGCAATTTTGTTTTTCTTTGGCAGCCAGTGATATTTACCTGGCTTTTATCCCAACTTCATGAGTATCATGTGTATCAAAGTGCTGACTACAAGTTTTTGGAATCAACTATTTTACTCAGTATCTTTTGGTAACTCTGGTATGACTACCTTGTTAATATATTTAGGGTACCTCTTGCTTTTTTTGAAATCATGAGTGTATTTTCTTCTCAATGACATATATTGGATCATTAAGGGAGAAACTAAAAAAAAAAATTGTTGGAGAAATGTTTAGTCAATGGTTCCAAAGACACACACACACACACACACACACACACACACACGAATGCCCTTTCAATTAATACTAGTATTAACTATTGTCATGTGGCAAAACAAGTAATTTACAGTTGATTCCTAAAACCTGTAGTCAGTTAATATAATTAAAATTTAAAAATCATAATAAAGATCATACATATTGATTATAATAATGTATTATTATTAGATTTTTTAAATCAAAGATATACTTCCTGTAATATCAAAATAAAAGGCACTGTTTTTCAAAAATGTGCTTTTCTTTATTTCTTAACCCTCACAGTATTTTCCTGGGAGTTTAGCAAACCTTGTAAAACTAAACAAAATTAGGATTTTGTGCTTCTATGATTACAGAAGGAGCATATCAAGCTGACTTGAAAATCTTAAAAAAAAAGAAAAAGAAAAAGAGAAAGAAAGAACGTTCTTATTTCAAAGGCTCAGAAAATAAAGGTTATTTACCATACAGACCTAGACTTCTTGTTAAGTTGTTTTTGAGATAGCAAATTAGAAAAACATGGCCAGAGTTAGAAGTTACTCAATCAGGTTGAGGCTGGGACTCTATTCCAGCAGCTCCTATTCCCCAAATTATATCTGATAATGCTCTAAAGTCTAAACATATTTTAGTTCAAAAAGATACTTGGCTCTTAGATAGAAAATGGCACTAAGCTTCCAAAAATCAACAGGTTTACCCACCCTTTTCAAATGATGTATTTGTATTCAGAGTAATCTGCCACTCAGTACCTCTGAATTGTAACATTTGAGAAACTGCAATTTTGAGCTGAAATGTTTGTTTTTTATTTGCCTATGCATAATCACAGGATAGGAGCATTAATAAAAGGGTTGGTGTATTGGCCTATGCTGAGGCCTATTATTTAGGCAGAGTCATGGCAACAGAGCAATGCTGAACGTGTCCAAGGGTACCATAATTTCAGCCTGTATTGTGTCAAGTGGAAGAGAAGACGTGTCCGCAGAGAGAAGGAATGAAAAATACAAACATATTTGAAATTAGCTCTGCATTTTCAAACCAGAAACAGCATCTGTATTTCCAAGTAACTCAAGAAATATGGGTGGTAAGTCTTGCCCCACGCCGGCTACAAAAGTATTATCTGTTAAGCAATATGGCGCCCACAAACTTAAAATCGGCAAAATCCATTGAACTGCATTTCCAAGAGAGTAGGAGACTTGAAATGGTAGTGCTCTGAGGATGTCCACGTGGGTGGGCAAGCATATGTTGCTTTTAAGCAGAGGAAGTGGCACACCACGATTTCTTCATAAGTGTGAGGTCTTTATAAACTCATCCTCATGGGGGCTGTTTTAAATAGAAAGAAAATGGCACATAGTCCCCAGCCAAGCTTCCTAACTGTCTGGGGGGCGGGAGGGGGGGGAGCGGGTTGCCACTTTCCCAAAACATTAGGTTACTGTGGGTAAATTTTCCAAAATTGTCAACAATTTCATTTTTAAACTGAGTTCTTCCTCTCAGCATAAGACAGATGCAATACAGCACAAACTATATTTGGTCTAGCAGGAGATTGTAAGTTATTTTTACTACGCTGACTCCTACCTGACAGTGGAAGACGTATTCTGGTGTGGTTTTCTTAAACTTCATGTTCCAAACCAAGGCCACTCCATCTGGTTCATGGGGAGCATCTTCATTGTTGTTGTAAGAAGCCACCATCAGCTCAGGGTACTAAATGGAAGAGGTCACAAAGACGAATTATGCTAAGATGACAGCACAAGGAAAACTTCGTTATTCCTACGTACACGTGGTATACTGCATAGTGTAAATGGTGCTTTCTATGTTCTGGCATACCTAGTATCAGCTTATTGCTGCAACCTCCTGCAGTCTTTCTTCTGCCTCCAACACTCCGTATGTGCTTGTCATACTCACTGGTAACTATCAAACTACAAACATCGCTTTACCTCTCTGTATTATATGACACTTTGTGCTACTCCCTTCCTGCTCCAATATTGGCTTCCATTACATCTTTCTCTCCTGATTTTCTTCCCTGACTTCTCATTTCAGTTCCTGCCAGTTCTCCTTCTATTACATATATTCCAAGGAGGCCTGTTCTCCCTGAGTAAGTTCATCTACTCCAGTGGCTTTAGTAAGCTTAACATGCTGGTAATTTTCAAATCTATATCTCTAGGCTTAATTTCTCTCTGAAATGCAGATTTCATTTCATAGTGGGGATTGCTCAGGATTGCCCATAGACACATCACTTGCAACACATAGAAAAATGAGCTCATTGACTTCCACACGAAACCTACGGTTCCTCCGTGTTCCCTATTTTAGCATCTTGCACTAACATGTGCCTGGCCCAGGCCAGCTGTTCTACATTTATTTTTATTTCTTTCTCTCTCTCATTCCCATTTACTAAATTTCCCTAATTCCTTAATACCTTTTAAATGAATATTTTCTTTCTATCTTTAAGGTCAGAGCCTGCTAACTTAATTTCTTATCTGGATGAAGGCAACAGTTTCATAAATGGCTTCCTACACTGACCTACTCCATTCTTCATCCTTTATCAGGAAGACTTTACAAAATATACATTTGGCTAAGTAATTTCTCAGCTTAAAATACTTTAATGGCTCATCATTACTTTCAAGGCAAAATGCAGGTCACATAGGATCCTTAATAATCTGTCATTTTCTGCCTTCCCTGCTTACCCTCCTACAACCTTCCCTCTTTCTCCCCACCTCGCACACCCTATGACCCAGCCTCACTGGACTAGTTTTGAGGCACACAGGTACATCTATGTACCTATAAGTCTCATACTCACTCTCACTGGGATGCCTCTTATGTGTTGTTTACATAATTAACTCATCCTTTAAGACTCAACACAGGCATCAAGTCCTCCAGACAATCCTGACTTAACCAACCACTTCCTTCCTCGCCTATTATCAACTCCCTTAGTATTATGTGTCTGCCCTGCCAATTAAAGCACATGTCAAATGCATTATAATTTTTTTTCTATACCTATGTCTTGTCACTAGATTGTAAGCTCTTTGAGTGTAGGGACTGGTTTTTATTGACCTCTGAATCCAGGGTCAATTCCTAGCACATAATAAACTTGTGCCAAAATTTCTTTAATTATTTAAAATTTTTAATTTTAGTAATTATGTGCTCAATAGAAAGGCTTTTTATTTCATCCTTTGTTGTCAAACAATGCTAATAATTAAAGGCTTAAATGCAAGAAGCATACCCAGTAAAATAACAAGAAAGACTCTATAGTGATTCTAGGTATTAGAAAGACCTACTCACCCTACATCAACTCTGTCCTGAGTGTTATTAAATAAACTAAGGACAAATCTCATAGGAAGTACTTATGAGTTAGGACACATTTCATGAAAATGTCATTACTACACAGAAGTCTCAAAAGGCAGCCCTATTAAATACAGCATCAGGATTATAGCAGATCATATTACTCTCTTCTTATAATTTATTTTTTTCCTCCTTTTTCATTATTCTATACATATATTTTATGGAAGATTGTCTTTATGAATTTGAACACGGATCTTTTTTTTCTATTAAAAATAACTAAATCTAAGTCTTATTCATTCTTCCAGCAGCCTCAACTAAAGAAAGCTGCAGAGAGTTACAACTTGCTGGTTGTGCAGAGGAAGTATAAGCATACAGTGATACACATGTATGTGGCCACCAGGGGAAGTAATCATTCTTTATTAAAAAACGCTCCTCAGTGGATAAATCAAAGGCCTATTAAGAAAGGCCTTTGATTCAAAGCCCATTCAAAGAAACTAACATCCAGATAAACACAGAAGTCTCCAGACTGTCCATCTGAAGTTTAACTATGTCACATGTGAAAAGGCAACTCTATAAACATCAACACCACTACCACAGGGGCCAAGGAGCGGCCAGATGCTTCTGCAATAATATCACCCAGCTGGGTCTCATTGTTGGCACTCACTTGCAGCTTTTCTTTTTCCACTTAAAAATATTTAAAATTATTTAGTTTTAAAACTCCTTTAGAAAACAGGGAGTGCTTTAGTAAACTTATCAGTGAAATGCCATTGGCATAATTTCTATAACTGAGATCGTAAGGCCTAAAGATACTGATTTAAATTTTATCTCATGCAAGTTTTTGGGATTTCAAGGTGCCCTCTAGTATGTCTTTTTCCACTGTTTGTTTGAACATGACTACTCATATTTTCCTTTTCCAGTAAAAATCACTAAACAATTATTTAATATTAAATGTTGTTCAAAATTATTATTTTAAAGAGAATATAAAGAATTACTAAATTCATGATCATTTGGTTACTCATAGGGCTGAATTATCCAATATTTACTCTAGGAGAATTTTACCTGGAAATTACCAGATATGCTTTCAAGCCCATTTTTTCTAACAACTAAATGAAACCTGGGGGCGCGCAGTGGCTCACGCCTGTAATCCCAACACTTTGGGAGGTTGAAGCCGGCAGATCACTTGAGGTCAGGAGTTCGAAAACAGCCTTGCCAACATGATGAAACCCCTTCTCTACTAAAAATACAAAAATTAGCCAGGCTTGGTGGTGTGTGTCTGTAATCCCAACTACTCAGGAAGCTGAGGCAGGAGAATCGCTTGAACACAGGAGGTGGAGGTTGCAGTGAGCTGAGAGTGCACCACTGCACTCCAGCCTGGGTGACAGAGTAAGACTCTGTCAAACAACAACAACAACAACAACAACCACCACAACAACAACAACAAAAACTAGCATTTACTGGAAAGGAAGGAACCATCATGTTTTAAGTGCCCTTTAGGTACCAGACACTGATATGTTAATTCATTTGGTCCTCATAACCCTCTAAGGTAGGCAATGGTTTACTCATTTCCACAGACAAAGAAATCCAGAGCCTGGGTTAAATAACATATTCCAAGCTTTGTTGCTAATAAGTGATAAAGCAAGAACCCCACTTGAAGTCTGTTGGGCTTCAAAAGCTTTGTCCTTTCCTCTCCACTGTGGCATGCCTCAAGTGTCCCCTATAAATATGTAAGGCACCATGGCAGGTAAAATACGTGACATGGATGCCCTGAATAATAGGCTCTTCTCTATAGGAACTTATCATTAAGTGGAGGGAAGTAAGACACCTGTAGAAATAACTACAAGACAAATACAAAAGCAGATCATGACATGTGCTAAGATAGAGGCAGAAGCAAGTTTCTGCAGAAGCATGGGGCCAGGCATGCTGACTCACGCCTGTAATCCCGGCACTTTGGGAGGTCGAGGAGGGCGGATCACCTAAAGTCAGGAGTTCAAGATCAGCCTGGCTAACAGGGTGAAACCATGTCTCTACTAAAAATACAAAAATTAACCAGCCCTGGTAGCTCGCTCCTGTAATCCCAGCTACTCCGGATGGGGAGGCACAAGAACGCTTGAACCCAGAAGGTAGAGGTTGCAGTAAGGGGAGATCATGCCACTGCACTCCAGCTAGGGCAACAGAGTGAGATTCCATCTCAAACATAAATAAATAAATAAGCATGGAAGTTGGTGTGGGGTGTGGCAGTAAGAGAAATTGAAAGGGATTTCTGAGAAGAAATGAGACCTTAAGCCTTGTCAAGTGGGTAGTTATTAGGACAGATGACAGTAGGGACAAGAGTCCAAAGAGGGGTGCAGGAGACCCCTCTTGGTATCTGGCTGGTTCATGTGAATCTCTCTTTGGAGATTACCCCAGTAAATAGAAGCCTAACTTCCCAGGGATAATTAATTAATTGCAGGGTTGATACTTGACCCAGCTGAGCCAATCACATTCTCTAACCAGAATATTGTAAACTTTGAACTGAGACACAGGACCCGGGAGCTGGCAAAGGGGTCTGGATAAGGACAGCAGCTTATTGGTGAGGTCCCTCAAGCTGCCCAGATTCCTACTATTTCTAAGTTTTGGTTCTTCATCTTTTTCATGGATTCCCTAACTACTATAATGATTCCCCAGTAAATTCCTCTGTCTACTTAACGTAGCCAAAGGTAAAGTCTTTTTGACCAATACAGTGAAGAAGAATATGTCCAAGAGACATCAGGTTATAGTATTACTATGTGGCTAGGAGGCAGGCTATATCAAGCTATGTAAAAGAAGAAAGGCCTGGAAATGCCTCAAGGCATCATCACGGAAGTCACTGAGTACAGGCTAATGATTTTAGATTTTATTCTGGGGGACAAAATAGGAGTCATACTTTGCAGCTAATGATAATACTGCTACTGCTTTTCTCACTACTATGTCTCATTTATTGAGTGCTTCTTATGCACCAGACACTTTTAAAATTATCAGTCCTTTATTTTTATTTTATTTTAAGACAGGATCTTGATCTGTCTCCCAGCCTTGAATGCAGTGATGAGATCTTAGCTCACTGCAACCTCTGCCTCCAGGCTCAAGCAATCCTCCCACCTCAGCCTCCCAAGTAGCTGGGACTGCAGGCATGCACCACCATGCCTCGCCAATATTTGTATTTTTTGTAGAGATGGGGTTTTGCTATGTTGCCCAGGCTGTCTTGAACTCCTGGGCTCAAGTGATCCTCCTGCCATGGCCTCCTAAAGTGTTGGGATTACAGGTGTAAGCCACTGTGTCCAGCCAAATTATCATTCCTTTATATACATTAATTCATTTAATACTCACAATAGGTGTGTGAGCTAGATACTATTATCATCATTTCATGAATGAAGAAACTTAAGCCAAGAGAAGTTAGGCAACTTGCCCGAGTTGATACAGAGTGTATAAGTAATCTTTACAAAGATTAATCTGGTAAAAGTACTTATACTGACTTAACATTATAGAGACTGACATTAGGGAGACCAGTAAGAAGCTGTTTCCTAACATAAGCAAGAAGTAGAGAGCATGACATAAAGTAGGTATCAAATCCATATTTGTGGATTTGCATTGCTGTCAATAGTAATCTTTTTGCTATTGTAAATTTGATTGGATTTAGCAACTAACTGAACTGCCAAAGATTACTCAGGTTTGCATCCTGGATGACTGCAGGAGTGGAAGATGCAATTTACATGTGAGAGGAAGTGAGTATACATGATGGGAGTAAGATCATGAGTCTGATTCTGCACACATCTGAAAACTCTGTCACATGGTGTGTGATAATATTATTGACTCACTGTGCTAAATAATGTTCAGTGGGTGACAAAGTTGACATAATCCTCCAGGTTCCCAGATTTCTTCCAAGGAATGATGTTTGATGATGTTTTGTAAATATTTCAAAGTTAAAGTGTTCTGGTTTAAGAAGCCCAGGAGATCAAAAAAAAAAAAAAAGCTATGCTGAAACCTTATAATTTCTTCCTTTTCCTCCCCTCAGTTCTATTCTGTTACATTCAGGAAATCATCCTAGACATACATGCCACCACTACACACCAAGACTGTTCCTCTATCTCTCTTCTTTCTTAATATCATTGGATTGCATCTAAATCCATCAAAAAGTCTCTTTATCCCATAAGTATGTAATCCTGGTCCTTAGAACCCCACAGAAGTGTTGTGATGTAGGAGCTGAGCATTCTAATCTCTTTTTCTTGTGCCTCACATACAATGCATTTTTCAAAATTGCAAACATTTCCCCCACAGCGTAGGTGGGTAGGTCACACAAAAATAGGGGAAAATAAATGTGGTCTCTCGATGGTAGAGTTTCTGTTATTTCCAACTTACTTCCTCCAACACAAACATCATGCAAGACCCTATGTGGAAACACACCCACGGGCAATGTGGCCCATCACCTACTGAGGCAAGGCAGGGAACAGCCTCACCCCATGCCTCCTCAGGGAGTGTTATCAGCTGACCCGAGAACAAGGTTGTAGTTGCCTTTGAGGAATGTGTCAGATAAGGTTCCTGCGTAATTCCCCGACTCTGAACAAGTGAACAAGCTGAGCTAAGTGCTTCCTCAGGCTTGGATCTGATTTCTGTGCACACACTCAAGCGTGCTCAGAGACCACCCACACACTGGCGGAAAGCTGTTGGGCAAACCCTGCTTGTCTCAGTCTCTGCACGATCATGCACTGTGTGCTTTGTTGTTTGGATACAAAAAGGGATTCAAGAGGAGAGAACATTCACCCACTTGATGGCTGATGAGGGTCTAGTTATGGGGAATTATACCCCTCCTTTGTTCCCCTGTTCTTCAGCAGGATTAATTGGGACTTATCCATTTTATAGCTCTGCCTAGAACACCCTCTTCTCCCCTCCATTTGTCTAAATCTCAGTCTTCTGAGAAGTGCTGTCTGACCAGAGGCAGATTCCAACCTTCACTGAACTTTGAGAGCACTTGCTATCTGCCCCATATCATTCTGCACCTTTACAAGCTCTTTTAGTTTCAGATCCAGAAGGCCTCTGTGGGAAGCAGTGGTTAAGAGCATATGCCTTGGGATGCTAAAATACTTTGGTATAAATCCCCACTATACCATACCCTAGTTGAGTGATTTTCAGCAAGTTACTTAGCTTCTCTGAGCCTCAACTTCTTCAAATATGACATGGAAATAGTAAGGGTGGCTGCCTCACATGACTGTTATGAAGGGAAAATAAGAAACCCTTCACAGCAGCTGTCATGGTGCTTTGCATAGAAGAAAAATAAATTAAAAGCTAGCTATGACTATTATTCCCAATAAAAGCATCGATAACAAGAAAGCAGAAACTGTGTTGTGCATAAGTGCTTAGGAGTAATCATTCCTGCTTCTCTCACTGTTCTTACGTCACTGTTATTGCAGGAAGGAACATTGTTGTTAAGAATGTGGGCTCAGGCATCAGATGCTTAGGTTCAAATTCTGATGTCACCACACTAGGCTGTGTGTTTGCATATGTTACTTACCTACTCAGTGCCTGGTATATTGTTACCTAGTTGAGGTGGCTATTCGGCAAATTGACTTTTGGTAAATTTGCCTACTTTCACTCTGAATGCCACACTGATGGGCTTAAACTTCCTTTTTACGGGTAATGGGGAGTTTTGGTCCAGGGAATGAAGAGATCAGGTTTTTTATTGTTTGTTTGTTTTTTTTGAGACGGAGTCTCACTGCGTCACCCAGACTGGAGTGCAGTGGCACAATCTCGGCTCACGGCAACCTCTGCCTCTTGGGTTTAAGCAACTCTCCTGCCTCAGCCTTCTGAGTAGCTGGGATTACAGGCATTTACCACCACACTCGGCTAATTTTTGTATTTTTAGTAGAGAAGGGGTTTCACCATGTTAGCCAGGCTGGTCTCAAACTCCAGACCTCAAAAGATCCACCCGCCTTGGTCTCCCAAAGTGCTGGGATTATAGGCGTGAGCCACCGCACCCAGCCCAGTGATCCGATTTTTATTTTAGAAAGATTGTTTGGGTAGATTTCCATAGGGGAAAACTGTAGGTGGACAAGCATGAAGGTAGAAATATCAGTTTGAAGGTTAAGAATAGTATTAGATGATGAATATATGAGTAGAGATGTGGAAGGTCTTGGTGACAGACTGGGTCTAGAAGACAAGAGGGAGTTGGCAATGTTGATGAAAGTTCTGCTTTAGGATCTTGGGTATATTGTGGTGCCTTTAACATAGAGATCATATAATAGGTAAAAAAAGATTTGGGATATATGAAAATAACGAGTTAATAGTTCATTTAAGATTCTATGGGACAGCTAGAATGGTGGCTTTGTCTGGTGTACAAAGTGAAATTCAGCAGGGAGATTGGGCAGGAGATACAGGCTATTCATGGTTGAATCCTTAGCAGTGGAAGAGATCTCCTGCAGAGAGCACATTGGGAAGAAGAGCAGTGGTTGAGGGCATGACCACAGGGACCTCAAGGATGGTTAGAGGAAAAGGAAATCTTAGAGAAGTCAGAGAACTAGGAGAGAGTAGAGAGAGTAGTGAGAATTCAATGGAAAGAGGATATTTCTATAGGCACAAGGACGCTGACTAAGCTACCTGACAAAGAAAGGTCAGGACAGATGTGGGCTTAAAAATATCCACAGGATTTGACAAGTAGGAAATCAGTGGTCATCTTAATGGAGCAGTTTCATGGACAGAACAATCTGGCTTCCTGTTTGGTACCTAGCACATAGTATGTATTCAATAAATACAAATAACTGAGTAGAGAATTGAAACTGAAACCTCAATAAAATGAGGGGGGAAAAAACCAACAAGCATAGAGAGGAAATCATAGGCAAGTAAACGAATCTCTTTTTTTTATACAAATGCCATGAGAACACAAGCCCAGTTTGTCCCAGCCCAGCAATAATTCTTACCTGGAGGGACCAGTCCATACAAGTGACCACTCGATGCTTGGACCAATGCTCATCATAGAACTGACGGTTGAAAGAAAGATTGGCTCCAGCCTGAACATCCCTAGGAGGATTTAAACATCAGAGATAAATATGGAGCTCTTTCTCTATGCTGCTCATATAGAAGCACTGATGTGGCAAAAGCCTGGCACACAATACTCTCTGAGGCTGAAATGTTAATCTAGGCTACATACCCTGATCAAAATTAAAGAACTAAAGATGGTCTTCTTTTTTTCTAACCTGGCCCAGAAAGGGTTTCTGTGTCTTTTCAAGACTATTATGAAATGTCAGATTTGTTTCAAGTTCCCATCTTGACCAGTCCCAAGCTTTCTCCAACCCTGCTTCAGGCCAGAGCCTCTCCCTGAAAGGCTCTGGCCTGAAGCAGGGTTTATTAGAAATCTCTGCTATCAAGGGAGCACAGCACACCAGAGGATTCTTTGATATCAATACTACCTTATTTGTCCTTAGACCAGAAATGATATGCATGTCTTTATTTACTTGTAAATGCTGATAGGCTGTAGCAGTAGTCTCCTCACTCAATAGTAAGTGATAATTTCTACCATGAGACAGGCGTGGTAGACAGTAGAGGATTCACCAGATATGTTCCAGATACTTATCACTTCTGCCACGGACCAAAACAGCATCTGAGTCTAGGAGGAATACACTTTAGCCAGTGTTTACTTGGCTGACACTCAACTGGCCATAACACCTCCTTCAAGGAACTCAGTGCTGGTTATGCAGTTGCTCCACAAGCTGAGTATTTAAATCCAGTAATGTTTGCTCTAGGCCAGGAACTATGGGATCTGCATAAAAAGCTGCCTAAGTTGCCTGGGCTTTGGTTCAGAAATTCTTCTACACCCACCTTTCCTCTGTTCATTTGCTTCAACTGCTGGCTTGCACCCTGCATCACTTAACTTATATGGCTCTTGTTCAGATTGGGTGACCTGGCTTCCAACAAGTTATTTGGGCTCTAATTAGTAAACCTAATATGACTTTTTTTTCTGCTAACCCTTCCTCAGCTCTGCCATTGCAAACTGAGGCCATGTGTGTGTGTGTATATATATACACATACACACACACACAAACACACACACACAAGTCCTGCCAGGAGCCTAGGATAATACGGAGCCAGCACACAGAGGGAAATAGGGCCAACAAAATCAGTAAGTCATAGAAAAATGGCTTCTCAAAAGAACACAAAGATTGCAGAACATATATATTCAAAATATTATTGTCTCTTCAAGGCAGTCTAAAGATGCTGCTTACTATTGAGAACATGTTCAGGACTCCCTTTTGAAATTGGTTTTCATGCCTCTGTTACATTCCCTTGAGCATCCTCAATGATGATAAGACATTGTCCTTTAAGAATGTATTTGGATTTTAGAAATGGCAAAAAAAAAAAAAAAAAAAAATCAGGGCTGATGAAAAAGGCAAGAGACCCTACCTTCACATATCCTTCTTGGCCAGAAGAGATCTGGGGCTAAGAACAGCTATATTTATGTTTATAAGGCTCATATAATCCCTCCTATTCTCCCCGTGATGATGGTTGACAGTCATGGCCTTTTCCAGTACCTACGCTACAGTCACAGAGGAAGTCATTTAGGGACACTTGCTTTTATTGATTAGCTTTGTTTTGCCTGTAAATATATTCTTGCATATATTAATATGTTTCCTAAAAGGCATATACACATATGCATACTTTTGTGGTACCAAATAGAGGAAACATTTTCCAGTCTCTGTTCATCATTACCCACATGAGTTAACTTCTCCCATACCTCATGTTTATTTTCTTCAATTTACTATTTGCTTGGACATCAGGAATAAATCTAGTAGATACAACATGAATCTCCTTTGCTGCTTATAAGAATGTTTTCTCAGAGGATAATGCATGTGACTCTGCAGTCTCTATCACCTGGACTGTTCCCCAGATATCAAGTTCAAAAGCATTTCACAGAAGCACATGATAATTACAAGGAAGCTCTAAGCCAGAAGTTACCACCAAAGCCCAGAGTCAAAGCTGTTCCGCAAGATAAATTCCAAAATTTCACCCTCCTCTGATTTCTTAATTTGGAATTTTCCTAGTCAGAACATAAATAAATGTAGAATTAACAGATAACTTACGCTATTTTTTAAAGAATGCACACAAGATACTAACCCATCTTTTTCTTCTAACTCTCGGCCGCTGTAGTCAAAAAAGATGTCGGAATCTTCAGCCAGGGCTCTTTCAATTACCCGTATTGTCCGATCAAAAAAGATGAGAAATTCCTCTGAATGAAGGATCTGCTGTTTTTCTTCCTCTGTCAGCTCTCTTGGAGGGGCTTTATTTATTTATTTTTTTGTAAAAGAGATTGTTAGGGAAGGAAAAAGGGACAATTAAAACTTATCAAGAGGAACCCAACTCTTGAGAGAGACTGCTTATCAAAGGCGTGGCAAGACACAATGAAACAAATCATTGCTAATATTGATTCTAAATTATTTATAAATTCACACCAAAGGCTTCTGCAGATGTCCCCACAAAAAGACTGCATATTTGGTCCAATTATTATTTTGAAGAGTTGAAGAAGATTACAAATAAAAATAGATTGGTGTGTTTTTAGCAATCAGTTCTAAATGTTTTTCTTTTTAACCTAAAAGCAGCTCAAATATGGCATAATAGATAAATTCACAAAACTATGTATTTATATATGCTATTGTACCATTGTCAAGCTGGCAACATTAAATAATTAGGAACACTGTATAATATGATCCACATAGTACGTTTCCTCTTTCTACTGAGTAAATTCATAAATTCATTTTATTTTAAATGGTTAGTTGGTAAGGCTGACTGATTGTTATATAGATTATATTCAAAAGCAGAAATATATCATTCCAAACCTGCTTTCACTCAAGATCTTCCGTTTTTAAACAAACACATGGAACAAATACATGCTTCTATAAAACAACCCACAATTGTTTTTCTGCCTTACCTTTCTAGCATGATTAATCTTATCGAACTAAATTTGAAGATAGAAAGTGAGACAAAGAGATCAAATAACTAGCAGTATGTCATAGTTTCTGAAAGTGAGCTCACCTTGGAGTCACCATCTGGTTACATAAACCATTCCTTCAATTGCAAGTTTTACATAAAACTTTAGGGAAGGGATTAGGAACTCCCCAGTCTGAAAAACCTCAAGGGCAGAAACTGTCAGCTGAACCTTTGTGGTTCTTCGGGAACCCCAGTTCAGCTCTGGTGGAGAGAGCCTTCAATAAACTTTTCATTGGTTACTCTTTCAGTTAGTAGTACAGAAGCTCCTGAAGTTAAACTTACAGGAGGAGGGTAGTGCATTACAATCACAGGTGGAGCCTCCGGTGGAACCACTCACCCACAGGGTTTTTCAAGCACTTCCACAACCATCCTAATAACCAGATCAATTTCTACCTGGCCACATGGTCAGAAGAATCTTTTAGGTACTATCACCTGTAGCATAATATTTTATGAAAGTGTTACATAATTTGATTAACTGTATTTTGAAGCCTAAGAAATCTGTAGTGTCAAGAAGCCCTCCTACAGAGTCAAGTCATGGCAGTGGATCCAATGTTCATAACAGCTCCCTCTTTCTAGCCTCCCCTTCCCTGCCCCAGACCATGATGCAAGGGGTCTGGAGAAACATGAGAATCTCTATTTGTACAAGAAACTAGAATGATCCTGATGTAGTTCGTTCACACCTTAAGAAATGCTCTCCAGGTAATATTAGGGCAACATGTGATTCATCCATTATAGCAGAAGAATTTCTCCTAACATACCCCACATTGTAGTTTTGAGCAGCTGTAAATAAAATTAGAAATATTTCTTTGCTGTCTAAGTCTCCGGAGCCCTAAATATTCCAGTGTGTACTGGGACTTTCCAAGGACTCCATCAACTTCTAGTGAGCAGTGCTGCTGAGACACTAGTTTGTGAAATGCTGAATCAGGCAATGTGCACACTCAGACTTAAGCTAGGTAGTGGGAAAATAGGTGGAGGTCATAAATAACACAAAGAACTCTATGAAAGCAACCTGGAATCAAGCACCCTGCCATATGCTAGCTTTGATTCATTAATCTATGCACTGAAGCTCTCTGAGCAGTAGTTTTATTTATGAAATGGGGATGATACCTAAACTTTAAGTCCGGTTTAAGAATTAAAGTTAAATATGCTGGGCTTCAATAATTGGTGATGAAGTAGTGCTTTACTAGTCTGCTTTCTAAAACTGTTGTAAATGAGACATTTGAATTATTTCACTCCAGAATATAATAAAACTACATAATGGAACTAGGCAAAAGGGGAAAATACTCTACAAAATGATAGGTCCATTTTGTTTTGGTTAATACTGTTAAATAAATGAATAAACCTGACTAAACAAGAATACTATAGGCCAAGAAGAATGTCTTATTTAAAAAGACTCACTTGGCTTTGGTCACTGTTAATAGATGACTTGAGACACACTTGAAATTAAACAAAGAAGTAGGAATTTTTCTCCCTTATTTCTTTTTTTATGATATTAAAAAATCTTTCTAGTCTCTGTTTATCTTTTCTAACCACTTCTATTTCACCTGTATCTTTCCTTACAGGTCCATTACCTTGAATAAAAAATAGTATCTATGTAATTTTCTGTAATTTTTTTCTTCCCTGTAGCTTATTGTCACTTTGATCTCAGCTTTCAAGACACACAACTTCTTCTCTAACAGAAACATAAATGGCTGATCAAAGTGTGCTTGTGGAGGCCAAGTTCAGGTAGGTGGAGCACTAGCCTCTCCCGATATTATGTTTGACAACACAATATTTGGCTTGAAATTAAAATGCTACCGAAGCAAACAAAAGATATATTTTATATTAAGCTTTGATGTCGAACAGGGATCAAATGACACGATTTGTTAGCAGAAAATAATCAGATGCATGTGCAGATGAGTACTTTTTAAAAGTTATAAACAATATTCAACTTAATTAAATAGGGCCATAGTAATTTTTGATTGTATAAACAAAACCTCTGATACTTAATCTTTAAATTGATAAGTATTTTTCAATATCATGAAAACACAATGGAGTATCCAGGAACCACAACCAAAAGGTGTGTTCAGAGATAAAAACCTCTCTAGGCATCATATTTCATGAAAGAAAATTGGTTGATTAATGGAGCCCACAAAGTTCAAAATACAGGACTAAACAAATAGAATCGGAATTGTTTTACTCCAAGAAAAATGCCAAATTCTACCTGAAGTATCTGTTTCTACAGTTTTTCCCTATCCCTGGAACCTAATAAATTATTTTTTAACAAATTCATGGCATTAAAAAGGTAGGAATTTAATAGCAAAGGGCATACCAAAACAAAACATGGGCATGGATAACAGTTTTTCTTATGGGTTAAGCAGAAAATACTATTATAGCAGATTTTTTCTTTGTTTGTTTTCACAACACAAAACATGGGATGTTTCTGCGAAGAACTGACAGCTAACAATACTTTGTGCATTTAAAGAGCTCTTTAAGAAGAAGTACATTCTACTCTATGAAAAGTAGAATGCATGGATATAACTTACATATAATCCAAATGATAAGACAATTTTCAAATTTACCAAAATTTAACCAGTTATATTATTTTATACCATGTATGAAAGAAATTTTGCTGAATACATGAAATTCAGAAGACAGCCTAATTCTATCAATTTGTGGCCCGCAAAATTAAAATCAAATATAAATTTCATTTAGGGTCCATTTTTTAATTGTGGAAATGTTAATTTTCTTATTTTTTATTTTTTATTTTTTCCACCAGTTGTCAAATGATCCTTTATTGAAATACTTTCCTTTGTGCTTAACTGGCTGGGCATTCCACAGCGCCACTGTTGATGTCATCTATGATGTCATGAGGGTGGCGGCCATCAACATTACAGCCCACAGACTGGGCGGTCCCCAGGATCTCTTTAATGGTTCCAGAGAGTTCTCTGGCTAAGGATCGGTGCCGCATCTGTCGAGCAATGTTGATGATCTCATCAAAAGTGATGTTCCCACTGTGTTTAATGTTTTTCTGTTTCTTTCTGTCTCTTGGTGGTTCCTTGAGGGCTTTGATGATCAGGGCAGAGGCAGAAGGCACCACCTCAATCTGGGCCTGTCTGTTCTGAATGGTCAGTTTCACTGTAATCCTCAGGCCCTTCCAGTCACCCGTTGCCTTGGCAATGTCATCACCAACCTTTTTCGGAGACAGACCCAGGGGGCCGATCTTGGGGGCCAGCGCAGAAGTCGCACCGACTTCACCTCCGGTGCACCTCAGGTATACGACTTTGATCTCGTTGGGGTCGAACTTCGGCGGCATGGTGGAGGCGGCCGGTGTCGGATGAACCCGGATTCGGGACGACCGAAGAAAGTTGCACCTTTGCCCCCTCCGAGCCGAAAGCCGAGAGTTTTTTCTTATTTTTATATATGAAAATACTTTTAAATGTATCTTTCAAGCATGACTGTATCTCATTTGCTGTGTTTTCTTGACCTTTCCTGCTATCCTCAATGTATACTTTGTCAGTTTGTCTTTAATTAATTTATACTACTTTAAACTATATCTTCTGGATTCTAGCCTTCTTGTGATTTTTTCCCTCTATAAAAATGTACAGTTTATAATGAAGTTCACAACTTATATTGAGATTTTAGTATCTCATTTCTATGTTAAAAGTTATTTTAAAAATATCTACCACCAGTATGTCTTGACTTGTTTCAGTAATGTTGCTTTAAATTTCAATATAAAAATTATTCAAAAATATTTTTCAAGAATCTCTAAGAGATAAAAAATAAATAAACCCATGTAGCCAGGAAAAACATTAGATTAAATAAGGACAGTGGCTCTCATGGGAATTTTACAGTGAAATCAGTTCATAAACAGCAGCAAGAAAACCAAACCAAACTAAAAGCGAAGGATATCTTTCTGTGAAGTCAATGTGAGGTTTATGAGTTGATTTCGTATTTACAAAAAAGTTAGGTTCCCAGTTGTGTTGTTTTGAATTTCTAAACATGAAGACATGAGGACACTGACATATGGAAGTTTTCTAAACTTTGATTACAAGCTAAAATATACCTGCTTTTTTCCTACTCTATGGCAGAAAAAAGTGAAACAGTAATAAATCAAGACTGCATTTCTTTACTGTTTAATGCACTTTGATGTCACACGGGCAAAAATGTCAAAAGTTAGTGAGTACTGATTGTTTTCCCCATGTCCCCCTCAACACTTTTTTCTTCCTTTTCACTCAAAAAAAAAAAAAAAAAGCCAGATTTCTCAAAAATGTGTTCCCTGGTTTGAAACTGTGTATGTCAAGTTTCAGCCCAGAGCAAATTTTTATGGCTGAGTAATAAATCCCTGAAACGCAGGGTTCATAATGGAAGTGCTGACACAGCCCTAACTACTATGCAGTCGTGTGAATGGCGCCACGATTATATCTGCTAGAGATTCTTTCAAAAGTTTGCAAAATACTGTCTTGCTTTAAAAAAAAGCCAGAGTTTGATGCCAACATAAACATGCTTTTAACCCATTATGTGTTAATTTGCAGAAGAGCCATTAATGGAGAATAAGGCACACAGTGCAGCAGGAACAGGAAATGTTCTTTCAAACTTCTTTTTGACTTTTAACATGACTTTAATCAATTCCATGAAGCATGAGGAACAGTTAAAACTGAAGGGTGTTTTCACTTGGAACTTAAGAAGGAGGTTGCTTTGCTTTGCTGGAGAAGATGATTTGGAGATTGGGGCTGGGGTGGTGGTGATGGGGAATCCATGCCAAGACACACAAAATATACCCCAGCTCCTTATCACCAGGTATATTTTAAGAATATTTTGCAAAGGGTAAAGGAGTACTTTAATAGATCCTGACTTATTTTGTACCTCATTACACCTGTAATCATGATATTCTATTCACCAACTTTTTTTTAAAAGATGTTTTTAGTATAAGTTTAAATGTGAGATCTCTTTGATCAAATTCATTTAGACTCTCAGAAAGAGTAAGCCTTGTGTCTTCTGTGAATGCCACTGTTAAAATGCTGAATCTTCTCCTAAACCTCAGTCACACCCTAGAACTTGACAGCGATTGAACTTCTCAATGTCTGAGACCTAGCACAGTAACAGAAAGAAGACCTTTTATGATAGTTATCCAACGAGTTTAGAGGACTTTGCTTGTATCTCTATTGATAGTTTCACATTTTTTAAATGTACTAGCTGGGGCCCCTGTAACCATGTTCTTATTTCAAAGCTATGGGCTATGGCAAACCTAAGCACAGAGAGCTGGGGCTCCCAAGGGCATCCATCCCACCAGGGTAGAAACCAGTTATAGACCCAGGCACTGCAAGGCAAGACTACTAATGATAATTTAGCAAACTTTTATACAGCACTTACTTTGTGCCAAGTATTGTTCCATACTAGCCCTGTTGAGTTTTTTAAAAACCTGTTTGCCAGATGGGGAAACTGAGGCAAAAAAAGGTTAAACTAACTTAGTCTGTAGTGATCACTCAGCTAATAATCTACAGAGACAAGATTTGATTCCAGGTAGTGTGGCTCCAGAGGCTATGCTTTTTCATTATTATCTCACACTGGCTTTTAGATACCCGAGATTGCAAAAAACAAACCAAAACTAAATTAAACACCCACACTCAGACACACTTCAAATGAGCCTCAATATGAAGTGATTTTTAATAATTTTCTACAATTGTGGCTGGGCGCGATGGCTCACGCCTGTAATCCCAGCACTTTGGGAGGCTGAGGCAGGTGGATCATGAGGTCAGGAGTTTGAGACCAGCCTGGCCAGTATGGTGAAACCCCGTCTCTACTACAAATACAAAAATTAGCCAGGCATGGTGGCACGCACTTGTAATCTCAGCTACTCAGAATGCTAAGGCAGGAGAATAACTTGAACCTGGGAGGTGGAAGTTGCAGTGAGCTGAGATCAAGTCACTGCACTACAGCCTGGGACAGAGCGAGACTGCCTCAAAAAAAAAAAAAAAAAAAAAAATTTCTCATTTAACTCCACATGATATGGATGTCATTTGTAATAGGTATTTGGGCTACTCTAATTTTCTCATGAGAGCACAAGATGTTGAAGTGAGGACTTGGGATCAGTATATATCAATTCCTACAAAAGACCCCAGTGCTGAACATCTGCCACACTGTGCCAGAGCCACAACCATCTTTAAAATTTACAAATCAAATGAGCTTCGAATCAGAGTTATATTGATCTATACTTGGGACACTCAGTAGGAAATATGGAAGAACATTTTTAATCTACATTCAGTTCTCAGGTCCCACTCTCCATTTGCCAGCAAGTAAGACAAGTTCAAAATTCTCTTCTGTCTCCATGGGCTGAGAATCTCAAGGTAATACAAGGTTGGGTTTGTAAGGAAATGTCACCTGCAGTATTTCCTGTCCTTCCTTTTTTTTTCTCTCTTTTCTTTCTTTCTTCTTATAGGTACAGTGCTATCATGAGGAGGGCAACAGGGTAAAATGTACACTTTGGATTTAACTCTAAATCTTGGCTCATGTACTCATACATTATGTATCCTTGGATAAATTTTTAGATCTCTCTCTTCCGAGTTCTCTGCCTATAAAATAGGGGTAATAATAGTATCTGCTTCAAAATAATGTTTTAATGAGTGAGTAGTATCTGTGGAGTGCTTAGAAGAGAGCCAAGGGCATAGTGAGCCCTTAATGAATGTTAGTTAATAATAACACCAGAACATGTAAGAGGTTGTTCCTCCTTATACAGGCAGAGTTGCAGAAGAAAAATTTTAATAGCAGAGTTACTAGCGTTGATCACTATTAATGTTTCCATGTAGATCACATGAAAACACTTTAGAATTTACTGACAAAATAATTATATCTAGTCCTTTGCTTTACTGTTATCATTGGGAATATATGGTTCTGTGAACAAGATAACATGGCAATTCGTAACAAGTGTTACTGGAATTGTGACTAGAATTGTTACTGAAATTGTGGACGTTTTGCACTTTATTTGCCTTTATCAGTCAAGAAATAAATGACTCTTGCTTTGGAGATTACAGTTTATGTTGCTAAATGTAATGTATTGTACAATCCTAGAAAATCTTCCATATAGGGGATGCAAATTCAATTTTTACTTAGCTCTATAGCCTCTTATATCAGTAAAGGCAAACAAAACAGTAAGATGATTACTCAATTTATTTTCCATACCATACCTTCCTTCACTTCCTGTTTTTTGTCCTGATTTTCCAGTTCTGAGTCCTGGCCAACTTTAGGTTCCACCATTTCCTCATCTTCCTCATCCTCTAGAAAAAAGAAAGAGAAAAATACAATATTTTCTTTCCTCCAAATCAAAGTCTTTGGTTGATAGTGGGAGGTAGGGGTAAAGGGTAAAGTTCCAATCATTTAGGGCAACATCTAAGTAAATCAGTCCACAATGAATGCCCAAGATAAATGTTCATGAATTTATGAATAAATTATCTCCAAAAGGGGCCTCTTTGAAAATTTCCCCAAGCTGTTGAGAAAACCACACCGAAAGGGCACCTGTACATCCAGCTCCAGGCCCTTACCATGTGGGATGTCTTGGAATTGCCTCCCTGACCTCTGAAGCTTCTTCGAAGATGGCCCAGGACTAGATTTTAAAATGTTTCCACCTGGAGCACATTTTCCACAGGGGACACCTGTTGTACAGATGACTCATTTCCAATTTAATTCTCACCAAATTAATTTGTTTTTGACCTACAGGAAAGGGTTAAATACAGGTCTGACCCCAGGTCAAATGCCATTGGCAAGTAAACAACCAAGGGAAGGGCCCCCAAAGTCAATGCCATTGGTCTGGGAGAAAACAACTCAAAATGGTATTTACACATTCAGAGCAGTTCATGCATTAATGTGAATTTAATGAGACTAACAAGTCGACTGAGTTGGCTACCCCTGCCAGATGTTACAGTGCCCTTCCTGCCCTATGCAAATGTATGCTCATTTTTCCTCTTCTCTCAACTTGCCTTTCCTAGAGGCCCCTTCCATTATGGAGTGTTTGAAAGCATCAGGCACAATGCAGAAGGTTTAGGGGAGAGTCAAGGTGTCACAAGAAAATCCAAATGATAGAAAATAAAATGATATAAAAAATAAAATTTGCTTTCAGTCTTTAAATATGGTATTGTACTCCATGCAGGTTATCGATTTCATTGGTTCAAATACAGCTGAAAAGAAATGACTTTGCTTTTCTCTCTACCCCATATATTTGCTCATTCAATAAATATTTACAGACCTTCTATAAAATCCCAAGCTCTGTGGATAGTCCCATTTCCATCACAATAAATCCTGAGATTCATCAACTCAAAATTTCAGCACCAATCGCTTAGAATACATTATAAATGCATACCTAAATGCTCAAATAAATAAATATATCCTGAAAAACAACTTACAAAATTCTAACTAATATTAAGCAAGTGATTCGTGGAAGGAATATCAATTTTACAAATGTACATATGTAAAGCATAGCATTGCAATTTAGATATTAGAATTTTAAAAATATGAATTTTAATTGAAATATTATACTCTATAGGCATGCAGGTAGACTGTGGAGCCAAGCTCACTACTTTATAACCACACTATATATATATATATATATAAGAAAGGAAGTAAAACATTTTAAAGAACTGTCATTTACTATTCACACAAACCTCTAAGGTCACATTTATTAGATGAAAAGTCGCACTAAAATTTTGAAATAAACACTGTTACCCAGACTTTTAAACAAATAAATCTTTAAAAAGTTAAGTTACAAATAGCATATCTATGTCCTTATCCATATGTCAAGATATTAATGCTATCTCATCATACACACACACAAAAATCCATTTGGAAAGTCCTGATCAAAATATCCATCTCGACATGATGTATCTTCCCGACCCAAGGACTAAACACAAAGTCTACTGAAGATCTAGCTGGAGAGGTTTCCTCTTTCAGTAATCCTTGGATGAAGAGGCAGTTTTCAAAAGGCCTCTCAGCTGCTGGTAAGTGGCTTCATTTCTGAACCTTCTGGAGACACTTCTTTAACAGATTCAGCAGCCATACCCTGACACTTATTAAGTACAGGGCAAATACAACAAAAACCAAGGTAATAAGGCCAGAACTATAGGTTGAACTGTGTCCCCAAAATTCATATGTTGAAGTAATAAACCCCAGTACCTCAGAATGTGGCCTTATTTGAAGATAGGGTCACTGCAGATATAATTAGTTCAAATGAGGTTATAATGGAGTAGGGCACCTAATCCAATATGACTGGTGCCATTATAAAAAGGGAAAATTGGACGCAGACACGCACACGCATAGGAAGAACACCATGTGGAGACGAAGGCAAAGATCAGCCTGATGCTTTTACAAGCCAAGGAACACCAAAGAGTGCCAGAAAACCACCGGAAGTTAGGAGAACAGATTCTTCCTCACAGTCCTCAGAAGGAACCAAGCCCACAGACTTCTTGATCTCAGATCCTAGCCTACAGAACTGTGAGGCATTACATTTCTGTTGTTTAAATAGCCAGTTTGTGGTATTTTGTTATGGCAACACTAGAAAACTAATAAAGCCAGTAAGTGCATTTCCTTCTATAATCTTACAATTTACTAAGAAGGGATACAGGAGATATTCAATAATACTTAAGGCAGTGATGAGTGCATCACTTGTATAATCTAATTTATTTATCAGAACTTAGTACCATTCGTCCAGTTTTACAGATGAGGAGACAGAATAATTTCCCCCGAAGGAATTGCAACCACATCCCGCTTCAAGTTCTGTCTGGCTCTGCCTGTTTTGGGGTCTGTGATCTTTAACCACTACGCAAACTGCCTCCTGAACCACAGCATGATGTGAAATAGAAATGCCATGGAGAAAGGGCTGAAATACAAGCAGCTGCAATGATATGTTGCAAGGTAAGGAAGCTTTGCAGGGACTTTTTGAGGTGGACTTGCATGGCCTCAATATGGATTGTTCTTCCACATTCAGGAGGTGAGCAAATACAAGTTGTAGCTGAGAAGTTATGTTTCACACCCTTGAGAGCTGTACATAATGGATTATTTTATTTATCAGGTATATATATGCTACAACCACATTCTGTTCTAATTTTCGTTCTGGAATCCACTGCTTTGAGACCTGGCCGGCAATGCTTAATATGAAGTGTTAATTCCTCCAGCCAGAAAGATTCACAGCTTGGGTGAGAGCAGCACCCTGAGGGAGGTATTTGATCTTGTTCCAGGCTGGAGTCCACCACTTGTTGGCTCCTGGGTTTTATCCAATTCATAGGAACTCTCTGAGCCCCCATTTCTGATCCGCTGGAGTGGGATAATAAACCTTCCTTAAAACACATTGTTATTGTAAGAATAACTAAGTAAAATAACAAATGCAAAATTGCTTTTTAAACCATCAAGGTCATTGGGAACATACTTAAGCAGAAATCTTCAAAACAAACGTTGCCTTAGATTCTAACAAATATTGACTGAGCACTTACTATGTGCCAGGTGCTGGGCACACACCAGGGAACAAGACAGACAAAATAATCTCTGTGCTCATAGAGCTTCCATTTCAGTGGAGAGAAACCACAAACGAATAAAAAAAAAAACAAAATATATACTGTGTCAGACAAGTGCTATGGGGGAGAATACAAAATAGGAAAGAGATGAGGCATTCTGGTCAAGAGTGGGAGAGTCTCAATTTAAAACAGAGTGAAAAGGCCCATCAAGGCCACACCGAGATGACATGTGAGCAAAAACTTAAAGGAGTTAAGGGAGTGAGTTGTGTGAAGACCTTGGAGGAAATAAGACTAATAACAAATAGATTCTTGCTTCTCAATCCATGGACCCAACGGAAGTAATGGATCAAGGTCTGTATTCATTGATAATTAGCTATACTGACTATAGATAACAATTGTGCCTTCATTACAGCCATCTAGTTTGTGCACTTAAATCTTCTAGTTCTTAAAACTAAAAGCAGTTTTACCAAATGACTTTGAATTAGTCAGCTTTAAATAGTAACAAGTTCTCATCTTTCACAGCTATAAGGGTGTTTATTTTAAACATTAATTCTCAGAAGAGTCAAAAAAGAAACACCACGACCAAAAGTGCCACTACCAGCTTATTGGAAAAATATTATTCTGTGAAGGGCTTGGCTATGAAAAGGACTAGGTTTGTGATACGATGTCTAGGTTTATACATAGAAGCATGTGAGGAAATAGCAGGTTATCTAATTCCTTAAATGGAAAATCCTTCCCCACAGAATATGTTTTTGATCAGTCTAAAAAAAAACACACACACACACAACAAATATGTATTGTGTTTATAGTATGTACAAAGTTTATAGTATGTACAAATGAGAAACTGTGAAAAACAGTGAAATTTAAAAAATAGTACCCGCCCTTTTACAGTGTCTACAAACCAGTTGTAGGTATTAATTTTTAGTGGTCACAGAATTCTTTGTCTGTCATCCTTTTAAAGACATAAAGTAAGTTTTTCGGTGGATTTGCTAAGGAAATAAAACACAAGAGACTGGTTTGTTTCTCTGCATACTGATATGTTTGCCTTGCTCAGCAAAGAGAGTATATTTTTCTTTAAAACTCTGGTTTCCTTTCTGGTGCAATTGGAATTACTTCTGTTGAAACCATTTTCAAAACAGTTAAATAACTTTAAAGAAAAGGATTTATGTAGACCTGCTACAGACTACTGATATATGAGTTGTGCCACTAGTTCATACCCAGTTACGTTTCCTTAGAGATTGGAGGGAAAAAAATTACCACCCATGTATGGTTTCCTGTATCCAGGTCCACACAAGAAATTAAACTAGTGGCAGAAGTTAATTACCTGTCAGTCCAAGGGGCTAATTTCTAAACAATGGCATCTTTTAGACACATTATTTTATTTAATACCCATATTCTGCCGTCTCCAGTTGCCACATTCATTCCCCCTGGCTGGAAAAATCTTTGGTAACCACTGTCTTCCTCCCTTAAGATTTTCAGAGGTCTAAGAACGAATAACTGCGTATTATGCAGCAATCACCGATAACACACTCAGCACGAGGCTCGACCCTTTGCCTGAGCTCTAGAAGAGTTCGTTTCCTCCATTAATCCAAGGCTCTAAATGAAGCCGATGTAGACCGTTTTAGTATGCAGCAGTCCTCTGCTCACTGACTTGTTCTGATAGCCTTACAAATGTGAGGTATTTGACAGGGAGTGCCGTGGAACATTTGTCAGTGTTTGGCAATACAGTATACCAGCAAAACCCCTTTCTGTCTGGGGCATATTCCCTTTGTAGCAAT